GGGGAGTGGTGGGGGTCGCTGGATCCTACGTCAATGGTACGATACGGTCCAGAAACCGTTTATTCCACAAGTGCGACTCTGTATTTACACGTACTTCGTTGCAACGAGAAAATCAAGGACACGGGGAAATAATTTCCAGATAATTGGATCGATTTCGAGGAACGAAATGTTTATGTGATACACTGCATGCGCATCGACGATCAGTAGAGTAATTTACACGATCGAAGAAATTATGATTAATTAATCCCGTGTTTTGAAATGTTTTGATTGATATTTTGTAATCAATTTGTTTTTCCCTTCCCTGAAACAAATTATGATTAATTAATTCTGTGTTTTTAGATGTTTGAGCGATATTTTATAAGCATTTTTATTAATTTTTCCACCCTTTCTTGCCCTTCTTTTCTTTGAAACAAGTAACAGAAAATACGAATATTTTAAAATTATGAACCGTGGAATGTTATTGAACAGGATTTCAACCGTATATCGTGGATTCAAAATAGAATATTATGAATCATCGAAATCTTAATACAGATTACACGGATACAGATTAATTTTTTCTCTCTCTGTCTCTCATTCGTGAATAATTTATATTTTATAAAAGAAGAGAATTCTCGTAATTTTCCAACCATTCCAAGATTTTTTTCTTTACAATTAAAAGAAAAAAGAATAATAAAATAAAATACAGGGATAGAATATATTGTATGCTTTTAATTTTCTATCAAAGAAGAAATACAAATAAAGAATCGTATGATTCTTTTGCGATTAAATATTATTTTTTAAAAAAAGAAATATCAAGAGATATGAAACGCAAGAAGAGACGAAGCATAATATTTTAATTTCCTAAGAAGAAGGAAAAGTGAAGATTTTTTTCGTTGAAAATTCGATTATATTTTGAAGAGAGAGAGAAAGAGCTAAACCAATTACAAGAAGCCAATTATAGTTTCTCTCTGCGTTGTTTATCGTATTATCTAACGTGTTATTTTGTCAGGGTTGACTTATCTGCCATGACTAATAATTTCCCTCTTATTTTCGAGAATCTGAAACACAGCGAAGTCACAACCTTTCGCTTGTAAGGTTATCAAGTTCTGTCTCTTCGTATCCGCAAACTCGAAGATTCTCTAAGAATCGTCTCGAAGCGAAACGTTTTTAAAGATAACTAACTCGAGGAATAAAATGCGGGGCGATCAATCGATCGAAATTTGTATTTTCTTGATCCATCGAATGTCGTCGATTCGTAATTTAAATTTCTCTCTTTGAAAAAAAACAAGGATCCTCCAAATTCAAAGAATTCCCCTTGGAATACGTAATTTCCAGGTTGCAAACTGAATAATAAATATATATCTCGAGATGTTGCTAAAAAGTTGCTGAAAAGTAAGTTAAAAATAAATATTATCGTTCGAAAACCGAAATTCGAGAAATTTTTGTTTCAAAGGAGGAGGAAAAAATGAAGAATTATTAGCATCTTGCTTCGATTAAAAAGAGAAATCGCGTTCGAAAATCGTTTCTTCGAGGCTTTTCTTACCAATAATTCGCGCGGAAGGTTTGAAACGCGATAATAATTCGACTTCCTTCGCGTTAATCGAATACGACCTATATATGGGGCGTAACAACGTATGATCTCATCCTTGTGTAACACAATCAGCCTCAATTACCTGGCTTGTCAACCAAGAGTCGCGCGTTCACCAATTCACGTGCGAACAGCCTTCAAAGAAGTTGGCCGGCAACCTTCTTCTTCTCCCCGTTTCTTTTTCCCTCTTCGTGCGTCGCGTTTTAAAACTCTCCATGTTTTATTTATGTCGAAGTTTAGCCATGCGAAACATACACACATACACGCACGCAGACTCATCACGGTTTCGTATTTCAAGGAAGGGATATCAATTTTTATTCGTTTTTAATATATCTTTTCTCTTTTATTTTGATACAATTTTTTCCCTTTTTTTTTTTTTGTTTTCATCAGTCGAACAAAGGAATGGAAGGGAATTTTACTTCTGATCTTTCGATCAAGGAACCTTTTTCTTCTTCTGTTCATTTCAACGAGAAGGATAAAAGTTTCATAATTAAATAATTTATTTTTAGTTTGGTTTGTTAGAGAGGAATTAAATATTATTAATGTTATTGATTCATTTTCCTATTTACTTTGTCATCGAATTTTTTCTTGCTTATCACAATTCTTCAACGACTTGCAATTTATAATAAAAAAGAAAGAAGAAAATATATGACCATATCAATAATACAATAACAATAGTAATAAAAATAGAAACAGAAAAAGAAATATCGACAATATTAAACGACGTATTCATATTCTTTTTTTATTAGATCCAAAGAAAATAGAAAATATAAGTGTTATTACGTATATATACCGACATAGATTCTGGAAAATAATTTCGAGAAACTCGAACTCTTATTTAATAAAAAAAAAAAAAATAAAATGAAAGAAGAAAATATATGAACATGTCTAATCAATAATACAACAATAATTATAAAAATAGAAACAGAAAGAAACGTCGACAGTGTTAAAGATATCCGTTTTCTTCTTTCGTTAGATCCAAAAAAAATAGAAAATAGAAGTGTTATTATATATATATATATATATCGACATAGATTCTGGAAAATAATTTCGAGAAACTCGAACTCTTACTTAATAAAAAAAAAAATAAAAAGAAAAAAGAAAATATATGACCATATCAATAATACAACAACAATAATAATAAAAATAAAAACAGAAGAAGAAACGTCGACAATATTAAACGACGTATCCGTTTCTTCTTTCGTTAGATCCAAAGAAAATAGGAAGTTTTATTACACATATAAATCAACCAGATATATAGATTCTGGAAAATAATTTCGAGAAACTCGAACTCTTATTTAATAAAAAAAAAAATAAAAAGAAAGAAGAAACATCGATAATGTTAAACGATGTATCCGTATTCTTCTTTCGTTAGATCCAAAGAAAATAGAAAATAGAAGTGTTATTACGTATATATATAC